ATATATATGGATGTATATGTATATGTATATGTATATGTATATGAATATGAATATGTATATGTATATGTATATGTATATGTATATGTATATGTATATGTATATGTATATGTATATGTATATGTACATGTACATGTATATGTATATGTATATGTATATATATATGTATATGTATATGTATATGTATATGCATATGTATATGCATATGTATATGCATATGTATATGTATATGTATATGCATATGTATATATATATGTATATGTATATGTATATGTATTTGTATATGTATATGTATATGTGAAGATATGTATATGCGAATATATGTATATATGTATACATGTATCAGCTCGTTGGCACACCATTTGTATAGCGCGTCATAGTATTTGTAGATCCAAATAGAAAAATAACGTTAAAGTCGTGGAAAGTTCTGCGAGAAGGTGGGCAGAACTTTCCACGAATTTAAGGTTATGATCAGCTCGTTGGTTGTGTTATCAGTGTGTTTAAGATCAATTTGACTGTAGCCAAAACTTAGATCACAGCAAGCTGCCGACAGCTTTGCTGATCATCATTTTACGACTTACTCGCGTTGACAAATCATAGGGCAAAGAGTGGAAAAGTAATCTGTTGCAAATAACAACTGCTGACAGAGTACTGATAACTTTGCCCTGTATTTACGAAATCTGAGAATCAGAAAAATAATTTAAAAAAAAATGTAAAAATGTAGCTTTACACTTGTTTGTGATAGGTCAAGCAGCGCTAAACGGAGCTGTTGCTATGAAATAAAATTGTAAATTATTGCGGTATATTTGTATCACCCAATGTATAGCCGAAGTGTCAGACTCAGCTACAGTCACAGAGGCACAGACGATATTGTGATAATCGATATACCTTTAATATATTTAATAGTCAATGTCGGGGATCCAGAACGATCAGTCAAGTCGAGGGCAAGCAATACGGCGAAGGGATACAATGTTATAAATAGTGAAATACATAGACTAAGAAGTACGGAATATTAAGGCTTCTTTCTACTAACCTCTTCAATTTTGCAAAATAGTTGATATAACACTGCTCAGAGCGGACAGAGTAGAATATTAAAGTGTTTAGTCAGTGAAACTGTACAATTAGCCAACGGTATAGCACTGTAGCCTTAATTTACGCGCTGACCACAATTGCACAATACGTAATATTCAATTTCAGTACACCTCAAGAACGTTCGATACAAGTCTACACAGAAGGTACATAGGCAAAATGGTGGCGATGCAAGCCGCTCAGGCGCTGATGGTGATGGCCTTGGGGGCAAAAACTGTACAGGTAAGCAAATTTTACCACATCAACTCCGTAGCATTCATAAGTAAGATACAAACGCAGCGATTTAATCGCTGCGTGATCAAATTGTGTTCCAAAGTGTGTATTCTATTTTTAAACTTACATACTTCACCTGTTGCTATATATATATATATATACATATATATACATATATATATATATATATATATATATATATACTATATATATAATAATAAATAATACTA